GAATCTCATATAAAACAAGTTTCTTTAATGCGAGAATCAAATTTTTTCTTTTTGAACAAATAAATCGTTAATATTAATATTTATTATTTAATATCATAAAATTAAACTATATAGTAATATTTATAAACATGTAATTAGTTATAAATATACAAGCACCTGGGTTTAGAGGCTCACTGACATTAACCAGTTTGCTAGGTGCATTCTCCCTTCCCTTGGGAGGGTTTCGAACCCGTTTCGTGTCAAAATGTTTAAAAAATAATTATAAATATACAAAATTAAATCAATACTATTTTTTTTACAAGGATAATAATTAAGAAATTAATATAAATTAATTGTTAATAATTAAAATTTTCAAAATAATGAATCTTTCACTCTTCATTTGAGGCGTGCGACTATTAAATCACAAGCTGATGAAATTTACACAGTAACAGAACTCGAAGTCTTTATCTCTGCCTCACTCAAGCTCTACGGTTTAAAGCGAACATTAGGTCTGAGGCTCGGTTCGCTCAATACCGTATATTTGTGTGGCCATGGTTAAAGGTCTAACATCCCTCTGCATTCTGCAATGGTACGATCTACTTTTAACCTGCCCCCGTGTCGAGGGAAATTTTCTGGATACGTACTTTACCTATCCTAAGCTTCTCTCTCAAGACAAAATTCCGCTTCTGTGGTACCCGTGACGCGTTATTTCATGTGCAGAGTAACTCGTGGTGGAGCAAAACGTCATTTAAGCCTACCTGTAAAATTAGTTTGGGCTCTGCTATTGCCACTGTGAAAACTATTAAAATTATTAAAATATCTTTAATAAAATTATCTTTTAAGATTATTCATTAATAATATTTTAATAATTTCAATATTCAAATTGCACTTTGTATTGAAAACACTAATAGCATAGGAGTATTTAAAATATAAACTAGTTTTCATTCAATTATTAATTATATAAAGTTTATTTAAGAAATCAATTGCCTGTTTTAATGTTCTTTACTTAGATTTGGTCCAGCAATAATAAAAGACGGCCAACATAAGCTACATGACCTTACAACAATGTGTGTGTGTGTGTTTTTTTTAACTCCCTCTATCTATTTTTAGTGTGGGGCCTGAACTATTGATGGTTTAGGGTGGCTTTGGTCCTTTATTTCTACATGAAGCCTTTAGTAATGTCCTCTTTCTTCCTTTTGTTTGGCACTAGCCATTAGCAATTGTTTTTAGGGTCTTTCTTTACATTGAAGCTAGTAAGAGATTTGAGACAGTATGACTTGCTACAATTATGATCGCTTTTTAGAAGAAATCAAAAAATATAAGTTTAAATCACATTACATATAAATAAAATGAGTTAAAAAAAATAATAATTATTTTTTATTTAATTTTTTATTAAAAAAGAAAAACTTTGCATATGGGAATTATTATTGTAGTTCAAGTATGTAATTAGAAGTACTTTAACTTTTTTGATTGAGTGGAGGAAGGAACACAAGATCTATTTTATCCAATTTTCCAAAAATAAAGAAAAAAGGGAAAAAGAAAAAGAACAACGAAAAAATTGTGTCCATCATTTATGGAAGAGATAGTTCTGCTTTAGGTTCTGGATTCCAAACTTTCCATTGGAATGATTGTTGAAGAGAATCATTTAACCATGGCCGGAATATAAAATCAAAAAAATGTGCAAAAAAGAAAAAAAAACTTAAAAACAAGAAAAAAAAAAAAAACATAGCTGGAATATTTTCTCAATAACACCCACAACATTACATTCGATTTCGAATTATTCTTATCTAAAGTAG